AACACAAGGTTTATATTCACAAGCACCCTCCCAGTAGCATGCAGATTACAGAGTTGCATGTAAGCACGTACACTTTAAGCTCAGTGTACACACAAATAACTTTGAGAGGTTGCTATTAGTTTTTGTAGACGAAACCTAAGCAGACAATGGGTGGCCATTAAGTATTTTATAGGCTTAGTAATTTATGCTCTATGGATCCTCAATCCTGATTCAAGTATGAGCATTACTTTACCTTGAAAGTCTTTTTCTTGAGTATATCTACATTTATATATGCCGCACCAGTGTTGTATGATGTTCAGGCACTGTTTTGCTGCTTGGTGCATACCAGAAGTTGTACTTACAGCTCAAACGGAGCTTGCACAAAGTTCATGACTATGCTGGATGACAGCTCCTCACTCAGAAACATTCACGTGTTCAGGACAGCAGCTGACTTCAGTGACAATTCTTTTTACTTCGCACCACACGGTTACCACAGCAAAGACTGAACTTTACCTTCCTCTGCACGCAAAAAAGAACTGTTTACAAATTCCAAACAATTATCTGCACAGATTTGCCTGCAAAACCACCAGAACTGGTGATTGTGTACAAACGAAGGCAATGCACCAAGAATGCAAGCTTGAGTTTCTACAGCTGAAATAGTATTTTTACTTATTTTAACTAGGAAGAAAAAAGAAAAAAGAAACCTAAGATGCGGTTTTACACAGTAACACTTCAGAATAAAATGCGGAAAAATACTTCTTACAGGGCATGGGAAGTCAACCCTGCCAACTACTGTTAGCTTTTCGCTACTGCTCATGTAAGTTAAGAATGCATTAAGAATGCTGAAAGCATTCCTTTTTTTCCATTACAAATGTATTTTTGTATGTGTTTAGCATATTTCAATTCATACTAGTAATCACTAGTCAGATTTAAAAATAAGTAATTTTAAAATGTGTATTTTAATAATGATTATTCATGACTATTTATCACTCTGAACTATTAATTACCAAATACATTTGCTGGATGTAAGCCTTTTGTATTTCAATAAAATATAATAAAACTATTTACTTGAAAATATCACAGGGAATTGAACTGGTATTTCATTTCACACTAAAACACATCCCATTATCTTAAACCTGATCTAAAGCTACAGCTGGAAATGAAGGCCATAAGGAAAGTGAAACAAAACTCTATCTCCTAGATATCAAAATCTGAATTACTTCAATCTTCTTAAATAAAAAAAAAATAATTTGATTAAACTCTGATATGGCCCTTATGGCAAGAAAGTTTTATAACACTATTAAGAAAAAAAAAACCAAACAAGAAAAAAATGAAAAACACAAAAGCAACACCACACCTCCACCCCAAACATAAATCTTTTCCCGCAGCACATAAACTCAAAGCGTAAGTGGTTTTACTAATCACCAATCATCATGATGTAAAACAACAAAGATGTAAACGGTACACAGCACAGCAAATGATAAATACGTTGGAAGTGACAGCAATAAAGGTTAAAAAATTAGTCATGAAAGTAAAAAGATACTTTTTTTATATATATGATATAAAAATACTGAGATATTTTCTATATATCAAAATATTTTATATGTATCAAAATACTGAGAAATGAGGTACGAGACTTAAAGATCACAAAATCAGAATTTTTTAACATTGAAATATTATTTTATAGGAACACTTACCTTAGAAGTAAAGGCAAAATCTTTACTAGAGTATCTTAAAGCACCATAAACATCTGATAGAAAAGCATTAGGCAGTTCCAGCACAGAAATCCTTTTATCGTTCTCATAACATAATCTACCCTTACTTAGTATGCTTTAAATCTTTAAAGACAAAATGGCAAGAGAGATACAACTGAGATTTCAACATGGAATGTATTTATTTTTTTTTTTAATTTTCAGTACAGTATTAGGAGGTCATTTAAATACTTTAAATAAAGATTTTTTGAGAAAAACCCAAAGGATTCAACTAGGGAAAGCAAAACAACCTTATCAGTGGATGAAAGACAAGTAGTAATGACCTTGTGATCTTCAAAGTAGCATCCTCTAGAAAATTCATATTCCCGGATCACCTAGTCGGGAATGCAGCCTAGCGTGGTGACTCTCTTCCTCTCCTTTGGTTGCTGGAGTGTTTCAGGCAGAAGATCTCAACTATAATGGAGAACTTCACTGAGAGGCAGGAGGATTTTTTTAGATATTTTTTTTTTTAAAATCAAACACACAGAGCCAAGCCAACATGTTTACCTCATCATTTTGCTTTAAAAAAAAACAAATTAAGTTTTTCTCCATAACCATATATCAGAAGGAAATTAGGGAATAATACAATCCGACAGCTCACCCCCCCTCCCACACCCCTTTCTTTTTTCCTCTCCAAATCAACCAACTGTATAATTATGTGACACGGTAGATGGAACAACAGAAACAATCGTTAAGCAGCGGAATATTGCCTCACATTAGGAAAAATAATTTGAAATTAATTGAAAATTAATTTCATTGCACAAAAAGATCAGTAAAACTAAAAGCACATGTTGCTTTTGGTGCAGGGAAATGAAAAAAGAGCCTGCTACTGTGTAAACTAGAACACCCTGGTTTTTGGAATGCATCTTCTGCTTGCCTCAGGCATCCTGCCAGTGCAATGCCGAGAGGTGGGAACACCTCATTTGAGAACATCCAGCCCCCAGTTCCTCTTCCGCTATTTCAAAGTCAATTTTTAATTTCCTGATAGCTCATCTCTGTTAGTCATTTAGTTAACAAAAACTCCCCATTCTGAGAAAGGAATTTTCTTTCTGATGCCAGTCAAGGAAATCCTGGCATAACCAGGGAACAGATGGGAAAAATTCTGCTCAGATTTTTATTTAAGTTCCCCACAAGTATGTTTACACACATATATACTAAAACATTTAAGTATATATATGTGAATATACATAGATACGCTTAAATATTGACATGCTTTGCTTACCATGTTCAGTCTCATAAGATCCTTTTTTCATACATATATGAAAACTGAATATATATGAATCTATATAAGTATGAGACTGAATGTGTTAAGTCAAGAGGTTAAATCCAGATAGTAATAAATACAGGGTAGGGCATGATGGCCCTATCAGTTCAGTGATTTTTCTTCCTTGTACAGCACAAATGATCACAGCTTCTTGCCGTGCTAAGTTTCTGCAGACTGGAAGTTCTGAAACTTTAGTTCCAATTCATAACACATTAAACCAGTAATTTCAATCTCAATTTCACAAGCAGCACCTTTAAACTCAGGCAGCACTGTACAGGTTTGTACACAATGTGCTAGCCAGCAGTCCGATGCACTTCTTTCCCTTTCCAGCCAAAAATTACTGCTCCAGTGAACAATTTGTTTGGGTAAAATGAAAACACTTTCTAGTTTGCAATCACATGACCAAAAAGTAGTGTGGGGACGCAGTGGATGCCGAGATTCGCTGATGTAGCGGATTCATGCGGAGTTAACGTGTTACTGTAATACATGTGGAGATAGTCGAGTAAGGAGCGCATTTGTAACAGCAAGCAGACTCTGGCATGCAGCACAATCTAAGGCCAGCGAGCATGTATGTATCATGAGTTTCCTCTGTGCTACAGAACTGCACCTCTTTAAAGTTACTAATTAAATATATTCATGCCTTTAAAAACTAATATTTCCAAGAGGTTTCAAACTCAGCAAACAGTGAGGAAATTATTCTATAGTGTAAGCAGACTTTGTCAATTCATAGAGCAAGACTTCATTTTTAAATCAGGTTGCATAAGTAACTGGACATCAAGCTACTGATATTTCAAATTCCTATCGGAGACATAATAAATAATCAAGTTTAATTTGTTGAAGTAATGGCCCAGCATGGTGAAATAATGTTCACATAAGTGAACAAGATGTGTCTTAGAACTGTATGAAATTAATAATTCCCACCCACAAAAACTCCCAAAACAAACTGCTTAATAAGGGAACTGTTACAAGCTATGAAACTTGACAGGGGAGATTAAGATAAAGCTCAGTGTCAGAAACACTACGATATTCCAGTATACTGAAAATTGCAGCTATTTCATCAGCACATAGCATTAAGATGATGCACTGTGTTACTGGACCAAATATTTTTATACAACCTAACAAAAGGTACAGACCTCGTGCATCTCGTTACAATTAAAATAAACGGGATGTCTGAGGTTCAGGTCTCAATATACAGTGAAGTTACACTGCCACCAAAAAGCTGAACGTATTTCCCTTATGCTATCCTTAATCTTTTATGCTGCCAGACGTCAGTCTTGGATGATTTTGCATTATGTATTGAATTGTTTATCCACTACCTGGATAAACGAACTGCCCAAGAATTCCTAAGGGAAATTTGGTCAGAAAAATGAAAGCCTGAAGCGCATTTGTACTTCAAGAGAAAAAAAGAAAAAGAAACTAAGAAAGAAGTGGTATAAGCCCTAATGAGCAGTACATTCTTTGAGTACCTCCAATATCACACACTACTGACATATATGAATGCTCTTCTCAGAATGTACAGAAAACCATTTCTCTTAAACCAAGACAGAGAATGCATTAAATAGGAATTTATGAGTATCAAGTTTAGGAGGATTTCCCATCAGTTTCTGAAAAAGTCAGTAAATAGAGACACAAACCAGTTTTCAAATCAGGACGTAAAATGTCTCAGATTATACAAAAGTATACTCCAACTTCTCCGGAACAGAAGTCAAAGCTAAGGCCTCGCAATTCCAGTTATTAGAAACAGCATATCCTCTTTACTAGGCCACCACTTGAAGCCAACTATTCAGTGTTTTAAAGAGGGGATTTTATAAAAAGGTGGTTGCAATGCAGTTCTTTGTAATATTTACCCACACATAGACAGATTGCTTAAAAGTGTTACAAGCCATGACAGAAACTGTTAAAGAAAATGCAACAAACTACACTGACTGAAATTTCCTCAATGTCCTCATACCTAGTGAAGTTCACTACACAAATTAAACGTCATAAAGTACAAATTAACAAACCACATGATTAATAAAATCTGTTCACTTTATATTAAACATCTCTAATATGATTACGGAATGTTTACGTCCTCTGTTGCACAGAGGAACTCTTCCCTTTGTATCACGGGCAAGGGTTCTCAGCTCGAACGCTACTGTGCAAAATTTATTTCAGCAGGTTCTGCAGCATAGCTGTAGCGTACGTGGGACGAGCTTGTCTGCTTTCAATTGCATTTTGAAGATACTGGATACCTCCACAGCGCTCCCAAATTTCTTCAAACTGTCTCGGCAAAATTTCAGCACCTCGTTTTCGAGTTAAGCCAGTCTCTTCAAGGTTAAGCTCACACATATCCATATCATCCTTACCTGAAATAGTAAATGGAAAGAGAAAAAACTTTGTAAAGCTTTTGCATCATTCAAAGGTCCCATTAACAAAGATCTAATCTTTGCTAATTAGATCTCCTCTCTCAAGCTCTGGTTTATTATAGAATTCAGAGCTTACGGGGAAATCAGTCCTCAGACACAGGGGTTGGTTGTTTGGGGTTTTCTTCTTCGCTACACACAGAGCAGAAAAGCTGTATTGGAATAAACTAGCATCAGATGCTGCAACTGACAAAACTCTGCTTAAAAAGCTAGCAAAAAGGAACAAAGGAAAAAAGCCAAAAAGATCCACTTCTTGACATACTCTCCTGAAATCCACTACGGGATGACAACCACATCTGTTCTACACGTACTTTCAGCTTTACACAGTTTTACAGTGAACTGCTGTTGTTATTTAATTTGTTCAAATGCAGCAAAGCAACTAAGAACTCAACAATTTTGATTGAGTAGCCAGTTATTCTTAACCTGTCAGCCTTCCACGCTAAACAAACGATGTTTACCAAATGGGACTGACATAGGGAATGCAATGCAACGATGAGTGTAGCTCACTCACTAGATTTTAATCTTATTTTTAGTAGGCGATCCATAGAATGTGGTATTCATGACAACAATGCTACTTTAGCGATGGGCTTTCACATTGAACAGGCAACGGTTGATATAAGGAATTCTATTGACAATAATTAGCAGAAAACCAAGGAACTTTTGTTGCTAGTAAAACATCACTCTGAAGCTAAAACAAATTGGTTAAATACAAACACTCAAAACACAAAATTAAACAGCATTTCTCCAGTGTTTTCTCCCCCTTTCATTATCCTCCAGAAAGGGAGGATACATTTCATTACCAGATAAATCTCTACCTTGGCCACATTTAGTTTTTATTTTAAATGTTTAAGATTAAAAAGCTATTCTCCCATACTAGACAGCATAAATATGGTAAAACCATCAGTTTGCTATTAGCACCATACTATGGAAAGACAATATATCATACACACAAATTCACAGAGTCACAGAATTGTTAAGGTTGGAAAAGACCTTTAAGATCATCAAGTCCAACCATCAACCCAATACCACCAAGCCCACTAAACCATGGCCCAAAGTGACATGTCCACACATTTTTTTGAACACTTCCAGTCATGGTGACTCCACCACCTCCCTGGGCAGCCTGTTCCAATGCTTGACCACTCTCTCCGTAAAAAAATTTTTCCTAACATCTAGTCTAAACCTCCCCTGGCACAACTTGAGGCCATTTCCTCTCGTTCTATCACTAGTTACTTACGTTCTATTACTAGTTACTAGTTCTATCACTAGGGAGAAGAGACCAACACCCTCGTCGCCACAACCCCCTTTCAGGTAGTTGTAGAGAGCGATAAGGTCTCCCCTCAGCCTCCTCTTCTCCAGACTAAACAACCCCAGGTCCCTCAGCTGCTACTCATAAGACTTGTGCTCCAGACCCCTCACCAGCTTCGTTGCCCATCTCTGGACACGCTCCAGCACCTCAACATCCTTCTTGTAGTGAGGGGCCCAAAACTGAACACAGGATTCGAGGTGCAGCCTCACCAGTGCCGAGTCCAGGGGCACAATCACTTCCCTACTCCTGCTGGCCACACTATTCCTGATACAGACCAGGACGCTGTCAGCCTTCTTGGCCATCTGGGCAGGTGGCCAACAACAAAAATTGTTTTGATACAAACTGCTGTAATTTTTCAAAGCTAGCTAAAAGCCAATACAATGATAAGTAGAACTTTCCCAGATAAGCTGTGATGTTTTATCTTCATGCTGTCTCCAGCACAGTGAATAATCTGAAGACACTACATAATAAAACCATTTGCATTTGGATTCACACTCTGTCTATGATTTCCCAGATTAAAGTACATGTACGAGTAAAACACGTGACCAGCTACGTCTCCAAATGATATTCCATAACATTTGACTACCATCCACAGCAGTCCCAAATCTTTAATTTCTGCCCAGATAAGAACTGCTAATGAAAAAAAGAGGATAGGACTTGGGAAACTTGTCTCATCACCCTCTTTTTCTGAAGTTAGTTATGAACTCTGAATCTTTTCAACATTTGAATTTTGCTTTCAATACCAACCCGCTACAAGGAGAATGGGTGCCTTGTCAGGATGAAGTTCCATTTGTCGAGCAATCCATGGCCCATCAAAATGCGCGTACCACCAACCCTTCTTCTTGTTCTGGGGATCTTTGTATTGGTCCGCGGGACGGATGAAGGGAATGCGGAAGTAACGCTGTTGTCTGTTTATTTCAATCTCTCGTTGTCTGGTTGGTAGCTGGGTTGTTGGGTTCTGTTGAGCTATCATACAAAAAACCCCAAAAAAGCAAGCAAACACAAAATAGAAAACAAGAAAGCCATATTATGACTTGCTTGATTGATCAGCAAAGTAAAAAAAAAAAAAAAACCACAACAAAACCCAAAACAAAACAAAAAAACCCACAACAACAAAAACAAACAAAAAAAAACCCAAAACCAAACCAAACGCCAAAACACCTGAGACATTCTCTCTGAATACAAGGTCATCTGAAGTCCCATCAAACCTAAAAAATATTCCCATCTCATATAACGTGTATTCTTTTAAAAACCACAGCTACAACACTGGTGAGGAAAGGCTCGTGTTAACTATTGTATCTATATGTTGCTCTACAGGTTGCTCAATGGCATCATGTATGTTTAGACAAAACAAAGTGAGTAAAATAACGCATCCTGCTTTAAATCAATATTTAAGGTAAAACTTCCCATATGAAGTTCCCAGAAAAACTTCCCCATCTTCTCACCAACCAGAAACACTAATCAGTAACTGCTCTAGTTCAGTCCATCTCTTTGTAAAACAGGGCCACAGTGCAAAGAAGCATTTCTAGTTACAAAAATACAAAGCACCACTTGAAGATTTTTGACAGTCAACATAGAAGCATGTGTCATATGTTAGAAGTGACTAATCTGTTAATAGAAACGTGGACAACAAATACTGCATATTACAAAGCTGCCACCAAACATAGCTTCCTGCCTAGACTTCCGTGTACTAAGACTCCATCATTGGAGCTACTCTCTGGCTGCTTTCTTTTTTAAAGAAGTTCTTTATTTCAAACCATTAAGATCAACAGACCGAACTTCTAGAGGAGACAGAGTTCTATGACATCTTTTAAAGCTTCGTATATAGTTTTGATAAACATTTCCCATGTGCATTTTTGGACTCCCTCAGAGTCCCGCACACGTCACACTTCTGAGAGAAACTTTTGAATAAAAGCAAATACTCTATGTTAACTCATCAATTGATTGACCTTCTTAATGTTATGTATACACCATTGGAATCAGTTTGACACAGTAAGTGCTCTTCCAAGCAAGATCATTTCCTATAATGACTGCCTCCTGCAAAAGTTTGTTACTGATCTTGTTTTAGTGGTTTACAACAGCACTGTTACAAATAACCTGTTTAAGAAATTCTGAATGTGAATCTATGCCATCTCTACAAAAAAAAAAAGCAGTGTTAACAGTCCCATGTTTCACTATAAAGGGAATAATTAAAAGTTAATTCCTTTTTTGTCCATTGTCTATTAAGCATCCAAACTAATTTTTGAGCTAAAATTTAGTAACATGAAAAATGACAATCACTTCTAACAATGTATTTTTACAGTTACGAACAAGACTAATAGACTAGCAAGTGCACCTTGAAATTTCTTCTACTTAGATTCCAGTAAAAGCAGTTTTTCTAAATGTGAAGAGCAGAATCATAAAAAAATATATGCCCTATACAAATCACCCCCCAATTTTTTTCCATGTCTACATAAACAAGGAGAAGAAAAACAAGACAGATTTTAATACATGAATGCTACTTTTATACACCAACTCTGATAAAGCATGTATTTTACAGCAAGACACAGTTTATAGGAAATGAATTCTATTTTCTGCAAATTGTCTGAACATCTATCACAGCAGATCAGTGCTTTAGTATTGTCAAACGCTTTCTGCACTGCAATGGTAATTGCTAAGGCTTAGTTCTACCCCTATACATACTTAAATCCATGAAGAAGTCTAGAGGACAGGAATGCTAAACATCCAGTATAACCTCTACTTTTCAGTGCTATGGAATTGTAGTTCTTTATTCAAAAGAAACCATCACCTGAGTGTTAGTTTGTGTGCTAGGAAAACAGCTGTTATATTAAGTTGATTCCAGAGTTTTGCTACAACAAAAAGCTATGTGCAGCCAGTAAAAACTGTTAGAACAAGCACAGGGTTTCTTGGGCCAGCGTAGGGCAGGAGGGAGGTAAAAAAGAAGAAAAAAATACGAGATTATACCTTCAAATAACCTACATCAAAAGGTTATTTCGTTCTCCCTTCCCATGACTATTTAAATGGGTAGGATCTCATGAAGATAAACAGTAAAGGACATCTGTAAATTACTAGAGGATTTACCATCAGTTAATTACCATCAGTCGAATAACATTGCCAAATTGTAAACAGAATGTTTTGGAACAATTGAACTATACGTAAACATGTAGCAAAACACTGGATTCATTAATGTTAGTATAGAGCTCTCAAGTGTTCCTATTCTTCAAGTTAGCTTAAATAACCATGTCCCCACTTACGTGAGTTGCTCAAAAATGGTGCAAAATCTGTGAACAAATATTACATGTTGAACAAAACATAAACGTGCTGATCCTTTATAAGTTATAGTTTCATTACCGCAACATTTTTCACCAGTGCTGATGATAGAAAAATAGAAATTCTAGTTACAAAATAAACACAGGTGTTGAGCTAAGTATTTCTATTCATTTTCTGCTCACTGGCACATACAGAATGTCTCCTTTCCTCAAGTTTCATAGGTTTCCAACTGCATCTATTTTCATCAGAATTTCATTTTTTAATTGATTACTTCAATGATTTGCAATGCCTGTTGCAAAACCTCAGTTGTATACATGCTAAGTACAGATTGCTGTAACAGATCTGCTTGTTAATTAATGTAGTACTTCTAGTTTTTTACATTTCTGCTAGGAAAAAATTTCCAGATTTCTATGAATACCAAATCTGCCTAGCCCAATAATAATACACAAACCAGTGTTTACCTTCTCCCTGAATGTATGAATTAATTAAAGGATACTTGTAAAATTCTATGAACATCAGTGAAAAGACGGAAAGAAGAAACTAGATCACTTGAAGCAGACATCCACTGACACTTGAAAGACTTTTCACTTAAACACCCAAGAAATCAGAGTTCCTTCTTACTGCCTTCTCAGATCATTTTAACACATAGATGTGAAATGCCCATGTAGTATTATTATTTGCAATAGAAAGAATTACTTCTGACATTAACACGAGTCTCTAAAGGTTACTATCAGTGAGTTTCTTCTGAGCTGCAACTTTCTAACTTTTTTTCAGATATATGAAACCATATTTCAAGAAAAGTAAAAAAATGCAATGAAAATCATTGAAAAGATGCTGTAAATGTCTAACTGAATGTGATGAGCTCATGACTATTCCAAGCTCTATTTGCACAAATCCAAATATTTTCTGCTCTTTGATACTTGCCGTTAGCAATACTGTACATGAATATTTATTTTATCCATTTAGCTCCAGACAGAATTTGCAAGCTCAAATGTAAAGCAACTTACCACTTTGCAGAAGGGCTTCAAAGGCCTTTTCCTGCTGTTTCAGTCATAAGCTTTCTTAGGCACTTAAAACCACATTACTAGGCATGGCCACAAGGACCCGTCCTTTGATAACATCTTTCCAAGGGGTCCAGATTTCACCTGCCATGTATCTGTACCAAAGCTCCCTGAAAAGCTCAGATTCTCAGGTAATGCTCAAGTGATGTATAACTCAGTAAATGAAACAAGGGGAAGGAGACACCTTTGAGTAAGTATTAACGCTGAGACTAAGTAGGGGCACCTGTATCCCCCATGTCCCAGGACAACACCCTAATCCCAAGCTAATGGAACTTTGGGGAGAGCATCTTCTATCCATCTTCCCTTTCTTCTCCCTCTCCCATTAGCTGTCCATACAGGAACACAAGGATCATGGAACCAGAAGACAGCAGGAAAAATCTGACTAAATTGTTATATCCATTTGCTGTGATTCTGTTTATTTCTTAGATTGCTTTTTATAACAGACTATCACTGCACTTGAGGAGGAGGGGAAGAGAAAAATCCACTCTGCAAATATCACTCCAGGAACTAGGCACCTAATTTTCATGTCTGGCAGTGTTAAACATAGTAATTCCTACACCTTCTTCTTAAGTTTAAAAGGCAGTTACTTTTTCTCATTAGTGAACTGCTTTGACAATAAATACCCATCTGTGAAATCAGCAGAATGACAGTCTAATGAGAAAGCAGGAACTACACAAAATTTGTCATCCCGTAATCAAAAATTGCAGTATCAACAGTCATAGAATTTAAAAAAAAAAAAAAAAACAAACGTAACTTGAAATATACATGGCTTACAGTAAAATAAATGAGAAAATGATTAGCACATTTTAAGAGCATCTATGTCCATATACCTGTGTTTTAAGAAAGGATAAAAGCATGAGGGGGGGAAAAACAAACCTTAGCATCAACACTTTTTGTTTTGTCTGGACACCAAATGTAACAGTGTATTACATAACAGCATGATTCATTCCAATCTTGTTTTTTTATAGCACAAAAAAAGATAATCACATGCAATTCTCTGATAGACTAGGCAAGAACTATTTTTTGAATCTCTATTCTATCCTTAGGTATAATTCTCTGTGCTGAACTATCACAAACTACTCTCAGAAAGCAACATTTGTAATTACAGAGGTCAGAGCTAGTACGAACAACCTTAATAACAAAGAGCAGTTTCATAAATGGAAAATTATCTTCCTTAGTCTTAAGTAGCACAGCACTGAGCATGTAGCAAAAATGCCAGCAACTGCAACACCAAATCAAGAACTATTTTTAACAGATGTGAGTTGGTGTAAGAAAAGGTTCTAGGGAGAGCTATTCAGTACACGTATTTGGGTCTCCTGAAAATATTCTACTTTCTACAAAGTATTTGCCAGTTCTATCTTTTAAAAATATTTACCTTAAATCAGTATAAAAATATTCTTTAAAAAACCCAAGAATTTCTTTCAACCTAGCAAAACCGAAATTCATTCTAGAACTGTTTTCTTTAGAATATTGTCACCAAATTTATTATAAACAAAAAATTATCTCTCCTCACCATAGTCTGTGACTGATTTGGGAGCACGCTGTTCTGCTTCTGCATTCCGTTTCTTATTCTTGGACTTCCAAGCATGATATACCTTTAGCCTTCTGTGAAACTCCTCTCTGCAAGCCGCCAACAGTTCAATATCTGTCTCAAAAATGAGGAAGGGATGAGTGGGAAAAATCAGAAAAATTATTTATGAAATGCTTTTCTATCTTGATAGGTAAATAATTTTAGAGCATGTTGTAACACTAGTATGTTATAACATAATATAATAAACATAAAATTTCACCGCTGAACTGCAGCTGAAAAGAAGAAAATCAGCAATGTGACTGCTCAGATCTAGGTTCTTTTTCCACTTTGTTAACTATATTTTAATTTTGCTGAATTTCATGATACTAAGAGACTGAATGATTGCAAGGCTTTTTCATTAGGCACCTAACAGTATCCAAACTGGCTTCACTAGGGATGAACATACATTAGCACCATGTATTACTGCAATGCCTATTCAGCTGAAAACATTGCTCTGGTCTTGCATATGTAAAAACAATAGAGAGAAAGTCAGCATTTGGAGCTAACTTTGGGTTTTAAATACAAATAGAGAAAATGGGTTTGTTTCCAATCTCTACATCCAGGGAAAAAAATTCTGAGTTATCTTAAATCAGAAATTAACCAACTGCTTTCAATCTGATTGCTTTTCAATCAGAAGCAGGAAGAAACACTAATATTTAATAAAGGAATCATTCTTACCTGTTTCTGTCTTCATAACATTAGGGGAAAAGTAAATAATGTCACAACTGTGAGCTTCCCAAATGAAGTTACACATTTTGAAAATTAAAGGATAATCTGAACATCTAAGACAGAAAATATTTTACGCTGTGCTTTACATGACATACTTGCTGTTTTCTGATTTGGTGATAGCAAAAAAATCCTTACAACACACAAATTCTAGGTAAAGCACAGTAACTATTACTCCCTTTGTAGAAATGCATAGAAGTGAGACAATTTAATCAAGAAATTATAACATGTATCTTATGGCCCAAACAGTTCAACGTCATAAGTATATAATCAGTAAAGGAGGTAACAAAGGGAATTCTGTTTCCTCAATATGAATAAAGCTTAGTTTGCTGTTCTCTTCTGACAGAACTTTTTAAAATTAATTTGACATTCATTCAAGCCTGAATAAGTTCATAAGCAAGTTTTTATCTTCATCATAGGAAAAAAGTAACACTTTTCGTAGAACCACAACTTTACTTCTTTCTCACATCAGAAAAAAAAAAACACCAACTTACCACAGGAGGTATTGATTGTATCGCGGAGCTCTGCATATTTCCACTTACTGAGATCATGCTTCCTAGTACCAGCAGCAGCTTTCGTGGCTTGAACTGAAGGACCCCTACAATTATTAAAAAATAATATATATTTTTTCAAGTACAAAACAGGAATTGTTACAAGAGGAGGAACAGATCCCACAATCAACACTGCAGCACACTTATTACAATGAAAAACAGCAGCAGAGGAACTGAATTCAAAAGCAAAGTACCGTATCATTTTCAAGATGCTGAATTGATTAAGAAAAAGTGAAAGCATCATTTCTGTCCAAAATCATATAATAATCTGATCAGTTGCCTAGGATTCACAGGAATTGTCATTAATAGTTAGCGCTTATGTGTGAAAAGACACGTATTCTATTTATTTGTACCTCATCCCACGCTGATGTACATTTTTCTTGGTACCAGTCAAGATACAGAATACAGACAAGAAAGCATGGCCATACACATCTTTAATTGCAATGGAAAAACAGAGGAGGAAAAAATATTTCTGAAGTAGGCAAGGAGAAGGGAGAAAAGGCATTTCCTCTGCTGTTTAAAACTGGCTTAGGACAAAATCCTTGTTCCAAGACTAGAAAAAACATTCCATGCCTTTGGCAAAAGTCTAATTTGAGAGAAGAAATCGAATTAATTCTATATTAATTCTATAGTAGTTGCCTGAGAACAGCAATTCTTATTCGTTGGCGAGGGGTGATCATTAAGAGATAACAACAAAAAAAAGACCACTCTTAGAAGAAAGGCTGAGCAGTATAAAAAAAGACTCATCCAGAAACAGTGTTTTTCGAAGGCAAAAGATATTCATCGTGTAGGTAGTATGCAATGAAGTCAACAGCAAATGCAAGTGAGAAATTATTACTAAAATCTCCATCATCTTTAACAGTACATATAAGGTTATCTATGTAACAAACAAATATTGCATGCATATGCATAAAGATAAACCTGAAAAAAATACTCCCCCTCCCATTAAAATGGTATGGATAAGGAGTGGAAGAAGTCTCCCTTAGGAACAGCAAACTTCCCATGGATTATTTGGATATAAACTAAGTTCAAAACACTCCAACACTCAGTGACAATCAGAAGACTTTTTAAGCACTAAAGAATTCAAGAACAGACACATGATTTTATCAACCTCTGCTAATGGCCACAACTGAGAATATGAGGCAAACTGAATTGTCTTTCAGGATCTGAGACGATTTGTTCAGAAGAAACTAGATCTTTACAGGGTAGCAAATACTTGATGCAACATGTCACATCAAAAATTAAAAAGAAAGAAAAACAGAAGAAACCAGGACTTTTCAGTGAAAATCTGTTTTGGCAGCAGTATCTTTGTGGGACTGGTACATTATTACAGTATTTATAATCCTGTTAGTATTATTTTAAAGTTTATTTTTCCATAAAGGTCTCATGTGGGACTATGAAGCTTGATGTTGTTTATTTTTCCTTTTTACTTAACAGGTCATAAATACATTTTCTGGGAAAAAATTCTCTACATAAATATAGCAGTTCTGAAAACAGAGATAACAAATGCAATTTATTTTTAAGTTTCATGGAACAAAACAATCTGTTTCACCAAATGTTCTTCCTAACAGCAACTGAACCACCTCTTCAAATGTAATTAGAACTACAGAATCATACTGTTTACTGCAGCAGCATCTTAATTATGCCTACTCATACTACTGTTCTGAGTCAACACACAGCTTCCAGGTACGGTATGTGAGAAGTCTGACACAACGTTACCTCTGTGACTTGTGATCATGGCTAAGGGATAGGAACTTTTCCTCATCCTTAGCACTACTCCTAACTGTAAAAACAAATCAGCCAGACAGCCCCCTTCAAAATATGTATTTTAAATGTTTTGTTATCATTGGCATACCTGTAGGACATTAAAGGATTGCTGCTAAACGTAATTTCCGCTGCCTGGTGTCTAACCTTCTTGAACCCAATTTGACAAATCCTAAGGATTTTCCTTATTTAGCAACACTACCCACCACTCTAAGAGTTTGCTACATAATTTAGAGCAGCAGAACTAGGCTGTAAAATCTCTGGTTAAACTAGTAATCTTTAAGAATGCTAATCCAATTGAACGGCTTAGCCTTTCCATTACCGTACTACTCCGCACTCTGCAGATCACTCTTTTGTTTTCTACATGACTTTAAGCGTAACGGCCTGGCAGTAAGAGAAGCATCACACTTGACAACCAGTCTTCATCGCCCAATCTAATAAAGCTATGTATCATAAACAGCATTTTCAGACTTAAGAAAAATCAGTCTCAAGTCAAGAGTTTCTAGTATATGAAAAGTGAAAAAAATATAGTTAAGCAAACATGGAGTAGTAAGTGCTGCATTTTTAATTCAATCAAAACACAGAGCCTCTCATTTTGCCCCAAAGTTTTGTGATTTTTTTTTTGCACCTTAACAACTTGCTATTGTCATTGGAACTATGTCAATATATGCAATACAATTTAGCCACCTAAAATCACATGCTAACTTAATTCATACATTGTTTACTCCTATTCTTAAAATGCCACTGCAAGAAACAAATTTCATTAACAGCTGTGTTCCCAATTACCAATGCTAAAACTAGAAAAACCATCAATCACGTGAGACAGATCATCTCAGATTATATATACACAACATAGTGGCTTGTTTAACAACAGACTTGCTTTTTAAAACCCTAAACAATTTCGCTTCTTATGTAAGTTTCAGAAAACGAATGTCAAAAGATTATTTTTGTCCTCAAGTTGCACAAAACATTTCTTAAATACTCACTAATATGAAGACAATATAACAATTTCTTTCAACAGAGAATGAGTATCTGACACAAACTACCACGAGACTGTTGCAGTAGAATTGTATTCAGATCTAAACCTGCATTCTCCTTTCCTCCTGCATAAAACCTTGCATGAGCATTCATGAAATCTCAGAAGGGGACTTTGTTTAGATATCTTAAGAGGGGTTTTAATATGCCTTTAACATCGCAATTTTCAAAACTGCTTTTATTTGAAGGAAATTTTAAATGGAATTTTTTCTTATTAAAAGCACTAGCAGTTACATTAACATTAAATAACTTCATTAACTCTGTCTTGAATCTGTAGAAATCCTCCTTTGAACGATGTGGAGCCTAGTTTTCTATTATCATTATAAGGAAGGTGAAAAGAGAAGAAAGCTGGAGGAACATTATCAAAATTACAGAAACTACCAGGATATATGAACTATTCTCTTTTTTTAATATATATAATCAGTTGAAATACCAGAAAGGTAATTGCTGAAAAAAGGTGTCGATAAAGGAAATTTATCTGAAAGAAGTAATTTACTTATCTCCTTAGCACTTAAAAAAAACCCAGATTCCATGATTTTTCATTCCATTATAATTCAATCCATTTAATCTGTGATTTCTTTTTATAAAAATGACTGATTAATTTGGTATTGTCTTCTCACCTACCTAGACAATATTTCTGACATTTCTGTGGCCATTTGTTCCCTATAAGAAAATTGATAAATAAGCGTAAACGAAATGTATTAATATGAAGACAGTCTTTATAACTGTGACAGTCTCTTGCCAACCAAACTGAAGCTAATTCAAGTGCACAAAACAATTATTTTAAATAATTTCCATTCTAGTATGTATATATACAGTCCTGATTCTGTAAAGAGCAATAAATCACACAAGGCAGTGAAAAATGGATGGTGTGTGAAAAAAATTTACACTAATTATGTAATCATCTTTAAATAGATATTATTAGGTATATTAGATTATTAACTTGTTTATTAGATATAAGCAAAGTAGTGGATATAATGCATTACAACCTGATTTAAAGTTTACAGATGCACACTTATAAAGATTATTATGTGGTATTAGTAAATAAGAGGACAATATCAATTTCCTTTGAATTAATTAGTGTTACTTTTTTTTTTATTAGAGCATTCAAATGGAAAAAAAAGCCATACGCAGTCATTTGCAGCTTTGTTCCATTGGCTCTGCAAATAGAAGATATTTATGTTAGATAGACTACTTCCTAGCTACCTTTCTAATAATTTGAAGTGGGAAAAGATGGGTCACAGTAGTTCCTGCTCTCTCACATCTTATTTATTATCTTATGATTTCATTTTTTTTTTAACTGAGCAACAGGATTATATAGACCTTTTTTCTTCATCTTTCTCATTCAATTGTGTTATATCATTTTAAAAAGTTAAATTAATCCATAAAAAACTGTACAAGTAAAAACGTCCTCCACTCTTTCTCTCCCCTACCCCATCTTTCAAAATCAAAGATTTTGAGACATGCTACTGGTATATTTTATGCCTGCATAAGCGTATCACAAGAATTAACGGCAATCTTCATATAGCTGCTCTGGGAACTAGACAGATAGCTTCTTCACGCAAGCTGTGAAAAGACATTGAGTCTAACTGCCATACTGAAGACCCACATGCACACGCATGTAACACTGAATATGCTACAAATAAGAACTTATTTGGATTGTTCCAACGTAACGCACAGATATACTCGCAACACCTTCACTGAGGTTAGCTTATTTTGGTGCTATATGCTATCCTATGTGTTTCAATAAGACACATAAATTAAAAATGTTGCACAGTTGAAAACAGATATCTATTATTCAACTAATGTTTTACGCAAGTGCTAAGCAGTTCTGTTAATTTACCCCTAGGTCCGTAAATCCTTTATTACACATGCTTTCAAATTGTGGACAAGCAATAAAACTGGGTGAAGCTAGGAGAGGCCGAGCATATCCAGCACAGAATAAGCACATAAAAATGCTCGATTACTGCCAGAACAAATAATCTTTCTTCTTTGACAGAAGCCAGCGAGTATATTTCTCAAAGAAACTACTAATACTTATGAACCTTTGAATATCTGTGAAAACTAATGGTGAATACAGCAAGTTATCGAGGAGAAATGCAGTAAAAGTGAAGGCTACTCACTTTCAAATATGACAACACCTAAGTATCACATTTTCCTTAAAAATGAGCAAAATACAAGAGTCCCTTCGAAGTGGCAGACAAAAATCACCTTGTTCTTACTATTTTCACGTGACAGGTAGTATAGCACAATGGAAAATACCCTTTTATTCATGCCAACGTGTAAGCATGAAATGATGTTTTACAAAATTGAATGAAAACACTGTAGAGCCGATACACTGCATGAATTCAGTATGGACTGATAAATGCTTTATCTCACTACAGCAAAATTTAAGAGAAAAGGGAAATATATGTACACAAAAGTCGTATAAATTTCAGTGTATCATATGGTAATATGCAAGTCTTGAATCCAGAAGATGGCAGAATGTAACTTCCTTAGACTTTAGTAAAATTGATATCAGTTAAAATAAGTCCTGAGAATTTATGTTTAAATTCTATTTACGTTTAAATTATTAGATTACATGTTGTGTTCAAACCAATAAATAGTCTTCATTTCAGAGAAGAATTCCCACAGTTTCTACCTTTAAGGTGATTGCTGCAGTTATGTGGAAATCTACCCTTGGATTTCAGTAGAAGATGCTGAGGTCTGGGGAAGGTTTTGGTCTGTTTTCAAACAAACCAAAATAAAATCAAATCAATGGTGAAATTAAAAGAATTTTCTTCAATTTTTGGACATGCTTAAAACTCTCTGAAGTAGACTGCAGAAACAGAACGAAAAAAAATTGCTAATGAGCTAAAAAGAAATTTCATTTAAGAAAAAAAAAATCTTTCTACTACTTTTTCCTAGATTTATATATTATTTTGTTCAAGAAAGCATTTACATAGCTACGTTAATTTGTTCACACCATTCTGCACTTTCCAATCATTCAGAAAAGAGTCTTCATTCCTACCACTAGCTGCACAGAGGAGAGAAGCTGGAAGTCATAACTATCAGGATGGGTAGTTCGTTGTCCATTCCAGGACTACAGAAGGAAGACAAATACCAGGATCACCCATGAGCAGTGGGAAACACCGTGGAGATTAGAGCTTCACTGACAGAAAAGTTATTGACTTCTCTGAGCCTCCCTTCTTTCGTATTTAGAAGTTTGCCAGGTTGCAACATTAGAACGACTTTAGGTTTACCGTCAAAGTATCGCACCAAAATCCACACAAGGAAAGCACGAAAATCTCCAGAATGCTGTCTGTGAAGCACTTGGACATCCAAGTGAGCATGTTAAAGTCTTATCTGAGACAGTATGACAGCTATTGTTTAACTGAGGTAAAATCACAATAATTTTAGTGAAAGTGTCCAAAAATCAGTATCGTACATGACAAAAAAATTACCTAGATATCTCACATTGGTATACACTTACTAAAAAAAAAGTATACATCTAGATAAAATTTCAGTAGCAAAGAGAACATATCTGGGAGCTTGAAACTCCATGGAAACGCTTCACAGGTCCCTTTATGCAATTTGACCAATAAGCACCATTTTTACTGGAATTTCCAAGTCGCCTCTAAGGCATCACCCTTTGCACAGGAAAAGCTCTTGCTTTGCAGGCAGTGTGGACCTGTGTACCGAAAGCCAAGCACTTCTTGTGACACATCAAAAAGTTCAAACAAAACAAAACGTTTAAGACAACATTTAATTTTCAAAGTCATCTACATTAAATAAATTCGTTCCACTTCAAAAAAACTTACCAGTCAGGACACAGAAATGACTACTATTTCTGCATTTAAAGAGGGCTTCTTGTTAAAAAAACAAACCAGAAATAACTACTATTTCTGCATTTAAAGAAGGATTCTTGTTAAAAAACAAACCCACACATAAATTCATGCTATACTACAGGAATTTTCAAGTACCAGAAAGGGTGTATTTTATTGCTACTTACCACTGAAGAAATTCCATTCACTACTTTAAATGAGTCCGAAAAATCATAATTTAAACTGGTTGCCATCCTTGCGCCAGAACTCAAAAAAGAGTAAGGGAACCGCAGTCATATTCACAAGCACCTACTAAGTTACTGATGTAGCAAGACGCAAAATGAAGAAAGTCTTTAAGCAAAAGCAGTCTATTTCTAACAAATTTCACAAGTTAATTTGAAAAATATTGCAACACACTGACTTGACAGATCCATTTTACTAATAGAAAAAGACATAAAACCAACAAGAGTGTAGTCTTCCCAAAGGGATCAGGATAGGAAGATGACACACATAAAAGAAGAGAAATTTTACTACTTAACCACATACCTGCGCAGTCCTAAATCAAGCTGAGCCTCATCACTGATGAGTTCTGCCTCACTCTGGGCAATTCTCATTGCAAGTTCACGATCACGACGTTCCTGTTCAAGCACTGCCTGGTGCTGGGTTTCCTCTTCTCGTTCTCTAGCTAGCTGAGCCTCAATTTCAGCCTGTTTTATAAAAACACACCTTTAACTTTATGCAATCAAAACCAAAATGCTCCATAATAAAAATTATTAGTAAAATATGCCAAGTAGTATATTTATAGCTTTCTAAACATGCAAAATTTACAGAACTGAAAGAGTAATAGCATTAGTTTGACCCAGGAAAATCAAAACAGCTACAGGTTGCATCTTGCTTGTCATATAGTTTATCAAATCATTATTGTCCACCACTTGTATTACCTTTTCAAATTGAAGTGCTAATCGATTATTCCTTATTTAAAAACACGACATCTTTGTTAGCTATTATGAAAATTAGACTTCAAAAGTTTTTAGAATCATTAAAACTCAGATGATACAGAGCAATATGATTACTCCTCCACAGCACTAACACAATACTCCCTTGATATTCTGCGCTTGGCATTATAGAACTTTGTAATAGGCATTGATTTGCATATAAGTCCGTGGTTCATTTACAAAAGGGATCAAGACAAACACTGGAATCCTCCGTGGACCTGAATCCAATTGAATTTAAGCAAATGGTAAAATTTCAACTTACTGCAATGCAGAAGCAATCCAGATACACTGCCTCTGCAGAGCAAAACTATGATACAAGTTTACCATCTTTATTTAATAAAAGGTCTTGCACACACAGTAAAATGCAACCATCCAGTTCATACTTCTGAAAGTCATACACGCCAAGTTGTAGCAGTGCCCTTCTTGGTGCCCAAAAGTCAAAGGAGACAACATCACTTCCCACTCATCATCGTGAATTTGCACCACTAAATCAGTGCAATAACACCAGTGACTTTACCCTATGAATCCCACCTTAGATTAGCTGATAGTAACAACCACCAGGAGAGAGAATAAGCAATTAACTGTATGTAGAAGAAACAAACACCCTGCTGGATTAGGTATCTGCTTTGTATCCAAACTCAGTGTTTCAAAGTAAAAGTGTAAATTACATTCTGCATTGCAGATATCCACATCTCAGAAACAAAAAAACATGAATAAAGACAATCCCTAGAGATGCTCGAGTGCTGGCAGACCAAGTTTTTAAACCTTCTGGCAACAGGCCATCTCACTTCCTCAGTGGACAAAATTTAATCCATTTAAACCACCCCTGAATGGAAACTTATCCCATGACTTTCTCACAAAACACTAGGCACACCTGCAATGATCTCCAAGCAATAATTTAGAGACTAGACAAATAGCAGCTTACTCTTTTTATATTTAACTTCATCAAGCTGGTAGCGCTTATTAAATACAGTAACAAAGGAAAGATTAATTTGTCATCAAAGTTAAGTTGTAATTTCTTTGTTAGTTCCAGTGTCTTGGTTATTAAAAACAAAGGTGTGGTGATAGAAAAGAGTATGTAGAAGTAAGAAGGGTAAGCAGTGCTAGGCTAACTCCAGGGATAACAAGATACAGGCAAAAAATTCTGCTTCTGATTAATCGTGGACAGGGCTTAAAAGGGTCTAAAAACACCAGTGACCCCAGCCCTGCACTTGCTACAACTACCCCTACAGAGAAGCTTTTTCCCTCTGAGACTGCCCAGGCAACCTTCAAGACAACAGGAAAACAAGGGTATAGGGACCAAACACACCTCAGAGTGAGAGTTCATGATGGGTTCACAGTAAGAAGTGTCAGGACTCAAGGGGGAGGGGTGGAGGAGCAGGGTTTGAACTGTATATATTTATTCTACATGAATGTATTCAAAGGGGCTACTAGATACTAGTCCTGTCTCCTCTCTTTATTACCAATATTCTGAAAGTGTTTACAGTTAAGCTGTTATATGACACAGCCTGAGTCCTGATGTGACTTCTAGTAAGAGAGTGACAAACTTGCCTGACATGGAACATCTGCAAAAACTTCAAAGGCTGAACTAGGATTCTCCAGCATTGTGTATTTTTAACTTTAAAAAAACTTTAAAACCCCTTTAAAAATAAATGCACCTCTACTCAGAAGACCTGAACTTGCATGTGGACTAGAAGTAGGTGATCTGTCTTCAGATGCCCTAATCATGGTTTTCACCTTACATTTACTACAAAAACAACACTGCTGAATGACTCTCAGACACATTTGTATAAAATGAAGCTGTTAGACCCAGTGGAGAACCTAAGCTGTGAAAAAGATTTAATAAAAACCCCAAAACACAAAAACAAAACCCACACATAGCTAAAACACTAACCTGAATACGCTTTTCTTCCTCTTCCCTCTTTTTCCTCTCTTCTTCCTCCTGTTTTCTCTTTGCTTCAATCTCAGATTTCCTATTACAAGAGGAGAAAACAAAAACATGTTATGATGATGCCAAGCGAACAAGAGACAGGAAAGCATCTTCTATAAAACTATGGTAAGAAGAATGGTAATCTGTAAGTCAGTACAGTCCAGATGACAGGACACTACATGTAAAGTCAAGAAACTTTCCAAGTCCATCTGTATTTCCAGCTGCACCATATCATTTCTTCCATACTCTATTCTGACTACACTTACCTTTATAAATCACTGGGAAAGGAAATGTTTTAACACTGCAGAGCACACCAGGACTACAATCCAAGTGACTCTCCTTAAGCATAGGAGTATTAAAAACGACCTCATTGAAGTGCCTTTCCTATTTTCTTCTCATTTTATAACCAGCAACTTTTTCAAGACTCACAGACGTCTTTCCTCTTCTTCTTTCCTTCGTTGTTGTTCTTCCTCTTCACGTCTCTTTCTTTCTTTTTCCATCTCCTCCTGGATGCGTCGTAGCCTCTCTGCTTCCTCCTCTTGCTGTTTCTTCTTCTGCAGTGCACTCAGAAGCTGCTCTGAGCTTCTAACTAGAGCATCATATTCTTTCTGTATCTGTTCCCTAGTCATTATAGTGGTCTGCAAAATGAAATAATAAGAGGGGATTATATTCTTTTACATTTGTACTTCACTTTTTAAAAATGTATATTGAGAAAATATTAAGTGAAATGAGATCATTGAGCAGTCTAATTAAATTATGTATACACTTCAGGGTAAGAGAGCTTGAGCACATCCTTCCCTTCCTTCCTAAAATCCTGGGGATCCATTACTCTTCTCTTTCATGTAAAACCATACAAAGTAACCTCCGTTCTATCACTGAAATTAAACATGACTTCTCTTTAAAACATGCCTTCATTTTTTAAACCTTGCAGTTTTAAGCAACAGAAATTAATTCTTAACATCCTAAGATGAATACTAAGGGCCTCCTATGTGCATTTTGTGTCGTGTTCTTGGCTTCTTATAGTGGTTATTTACAGTTCTTCCCTTTCTGTCATAGCACAGAATAGTTTCTCTTACTGTGTGTGCTAGCACTCAGAAAAAGTACTGAATCATGCTGTGACTAACTTTTTAAAAAAGGTATTAGCAGCAGATAACAGGTTGAAAATACCGAAAAAAATATTGGCTTTGCTACATATGTTTTCAAACCTCATTGACTGCTACAATTTCCTTTTGTTTTAAAATTCACATTGATGTATACCAATAAAACTGCAGGTGTTTGCAGACCGCTGCTGAGTGTATATCATTACGATAGTCAAATTATCTTATTTTTATGGAAAAGAGAACTCTAAACTGACAGGTTAACTCTATCATCTTTTCCACTCTGACTTTAAACACAAAAGTCTTAATACAGAACACCGAGAAAGCTATAGCATTGCATGAAACAAAAATTCCACGCATCGAATTTTTTCTAACATTAATAAATTCTGGTGTGCTTCCATTTTGCCTGTATGCTTCTGTAGTAAGAAACTGAGAACTATAGACCCTGAAGCAAAATCAGCAAGCTGAACCTCTTTACTACCAAGTCTGAAAAAAACCTCGTAACTGGAATGTGTATCTCTTCACTCTGTGAAAAACGCTTGTATGTTTCAGTCCTTATTAATTTAAAACATTGCTAATATGCACTATTCCAATAATAAAAGCAACAAAGAAATTGTTAACAACACTTGTCTCACAATATCAACATCCGTTTTTGCTTTAAATTCTCCAGTGTCAATTTTGAAACACAGATAATACCAAAGTCTAGACATATGCACCCAGTTTCAGGATTCACTTCGGTTACATTCACAAACAGTTTTAAACAGGATTTACCCAGTGCCTCTGAAAATTAAGACCTCTATATTAAAATGTCTTTTCTATTAAGAAAAATACATGTGCCTTCTACTTTAGATTTTTTTTTAAAAAAGATTCCACTAGTACGAAACTATTTCTCTGATTATTATCATACCTTAATTTTGGTCATCAAAGCATCAATAGAATACTCCAGCTCCTTCACCTGCTTGCTTGTCTCTGCCTTCCCCTCCTTCAGAGCACTTACTACTTCATTAAATCTATCAAGTCTCTTCTTCAGCGTGCGCACTTTTATCAGACCATCAATGCTGTGAAGGTAAGACAGTTTGTTTGGATCTTGAGATGTTTTTACAAGGTGATATTTTTAAAACTACCATTAATCACTCACTGTAAAGAGGTAGATATGGAAGGCAAGTTATGCTTTCTGATAAAACTCACTCTCTTCTTTTGAAATTTAAACACTATCACATGAAGTAACTAAACAATGGAGCCTTTTGCAAACAATAATTAAAACTGATTAGCAGACAGTGACTCAAAATGGAAAAATGTATTTTTATTTTGAGAATTAATGTGGGTTTTGTTTTTTTAAATAACAAATCATTAGTATCCACTAGAGGATTTTGACTGGAGTCGATAAAGGTTGAGTTGTGCCACTTACTCCAAGAGCAGTAACAGGACTGAATCAGATAAAAATTAACTACACAGCACAGAACATAACACAGTCATTAGACCTCATAGAGAGAAAAAAAAAAAAAGTCCAGGGAAAAGAAGAGTCCAGGAAAACTTGGAGCTTTTTAAGGAACGAATTCTGAAGGCCACACATACAAGATACAACTCTGCAGAGACAGTCTTCCTAAGAAGAAATCACTGAACCAGGATTCAGAAAAACACCACACAAACAGTAGAAAAGAAATCAAATCATTAAAGATATGTACAGAACAGCTTAAAAATACAGGGACATGGTCAGAAATGTCAAGGTAAAAAATGAAACAGGGTATTTTATCTATATTTTTATATATATTTAAAGTACATATTTATAAAACAAAATATACAAGGATGTAAAAGAAAACATTTTATAAGAACCCCACTATTAAAGAACATATTGTTGAATCTCTATCAAAGAACAAAAAGGTGTCAGCAGAGCTGATGGTTTTTCCACCAGTATTCCATGTATAGTCAGATTAAAGTTAATGGAATTACTTAATTTCAAGAAGAGACAAGACATACAGAACACAATTATTTTTAAGATAAAAAAAGAAAGGGGGCCTATAAAGGAAGTTGTGAATGAGTAAAGGACAAAAATGAATGAGCTTACATTTCATTTAGAGAGACTTAACTAAGGATTTCTAATAAGTAGGCTATCACTGAAGGATTTTAGGAACAAAGAGCTAAACAAATATCTCTTAGGAAAAGGTTCAGATTTAGTCTATTCATCCTTGGGAAAAAGAGGAGGAACATGGCACTTCTCAGTCTCTTTCTGTCATACTTAGCATCATTCTATGACTTCAGATTTATTTAGTTAAGCATCGTAAATCTCCTCTTTACATTCACAAGAAAATATTATTAAAAACCAATTTTCTTCAACCAAGGAATATCCTCTTACCGTGGTTTGTGCTTTCTCTTGCAAAGCCACATACGAATAGTCTTTTGTATTTTAATGCAGGCACTGGCTCGATATTTTATCTTATTTTTCACTGTAAACACACAGAAGATACTGAGTCTTAATAGTTTATACAATTTAACACAAGTCCTATATTACTCACACTTAACGGCTCCAAACTGTATGCAGACTACATGTGCTTGAGAGCTAGGTCTATACCAGAACCACAACACTTAAGACACAGCAGACAACAGAATTCACAATACTGAGCCAGGCATAGAGGGCTCCCACCCAAACGAGGAAGAATTAAGTGTGTGCACACTCGCACGCGTGCACCACCACGCCCTCCAGATTCACAGACCTCAGTCAGCAACCTCAATGAAAAGTCCCTGGAAATGCTCAGCTGGAAATCTAAGACCTGAGCTGAAGGGTCATCAAGTAGACAACATCTGCTAGAGATAATAAAGTGGCTGCAACTTTGCTGAGCATTTCTCTGCAATACTGAAACAAAAAAAAACACAAAACAAAGCCTCCAGCTGTTCTTCTAATACAGTTTTCATTCAAAGACTCAAACGACTGGGACCGGGAGGCACGTTAAAAGGAGAATAACATCAAGGCACAGGCACAAGCATGCGCACCAAGTAGTTCAGAAGTGCAAGAGTAAATATTGTTTTTACCTATTTCCTCAAGGAAGCATAGACACCTAAGGACACCTTTAGTCATCAGCTGAGCACATGGTTTATGAACACAGTAATACTTAACTACTGGACTTAGATTATCACAAAGATGCACTCTACCTTTTGTGCATCTATTTCAGCTTTATTCTGGGGATAAAATTAGCTTCTAATTTCCAATAAAAAACTAAGAAGAAAGTAAGGCACATGAAACTAGCATATTATTTCCCTGGGTTTCTACTTTTTGGACACAGTGACAGACTTTGTGTCTTATCCTTCTGAAAAATAGACTAAATGGCATAAATTTCTAGGTCAAAAACATGACTTTAGTGTTACACTTTCTGATGTCTGAAACCTATATAATAAGAACCCACAAATTCTATTTGCCCCAGTATAAACAGCAACAAATAGTACCTGATCAGTATGGGATGTAGATGTCATGACTGTGCTGACCCAAATGCATAGCCATAAAGGCATGAGGCCTTCATGCTTTTCTTCCCCATCTTAATGTATACTTTCCACCCTCTGTGTTATTATAAATCCCTGACATCCTTTATCAGACCTTTCCCCATCTCCCAGACACCTTTACTGAAGCACCCCACAAGCACCACTCTCTGTTCCACACTGCCTCATTCCTGCTCTACATTGTAA